GCAAAACTGCGAAGCAGATGTGGAAGGAGATGAGAGGCCTCTTGAAAAATCATCCCAAATGGAGCCGAGTATGGTGCACGCCTGTACTCTGACCTGCAATAGTTACTCAGGAAGCTGAGGCAGGAGGATCACTTGAACTCAAGAGTTCAAGGCTAGCCTGGGCACCACAGTGAGAGCTTGTCTCAAAACAAAACAAAAGCTAGGCATAGTGGTACATGCCTGTAATCCCAGCACTCGGGAGGCTGAGGCAGGAGGATCACCACGAGTTCAAAGCCAGCCTGGGCTACATAGTGAGACCCTGTCTTAAAAAAAAATCCTAAATAAACATCAACTCTAAAACAGTATGGTTGTTGTGTATAGTTTTAAGAAATGTTCCTTAAAGCCAGCTGTGGTGAAGGGGCCAGGGATTTAGCTCAGTGGTGGTACACATGCCCCACAAATACAAGCTCTTGAGTTCGATCCCCGGTACTGGGGAAAAAAAGCCAGCTGTGGTGGTATACACTGTAATTCCAGCATACAAGAGGCTAAGGCAGGAGGACCTCAAATTTGAGCCAGCCTAGGCACAGTGAGACTCTCTCAAAAAAAGAAATGTCCCCTAGTGCTTTCCTTTGCACCAGCTCATCATCTCTAAGTTCTTCCATTGTTTGAATCCTGGGGCCTCCGCATTACTTTGTGGAGTCACAGGTACAGCCAAGAAGGGAGCCTGGGACATGAGTAAGATTTCCTCCAATTTGTAATGATACCTTTTGAGCTGAAAGTCTGTCCCCTCTTATTCAGATAAGTAGACTTCAGGTTAGCTTTAGTCTGGAGGAGTAAATGGCTCATATTTTCTCCCTCCTCCTGCTCTTTCTTACATCCTTCCCTTCAGCAAATACCATCAACCGATTATTAAATGCTATACCTCCTCACAGATTGGCAGAGTCCTGCTTTTGAGAGTCTAGGGTTTCCCTCTTATCTCTAGACAAAGAGTTCAGTTTCCCAGAGCTGTAAGGAGAAGATTGGGCAGAGATGAGAGGTGAGTCAGCCTCCGGTGCCCCAGAGTGACAGCCTGTCTGCTGCCCCTCAGGCATTCCTGGCTCCCCACTCTGCTGGGAGGTGGAGGGGCCTTCCCCACCCCCACACAGCAGGAATGGGGATGGGATGTTAAAGGAACAAAGAGCAGAGCCAGGTTAAGGAAACTTAAATTTGGTGAGTAAGCCAGGAAGTCTGTCCACTTCACATTTAAGACAGGTCCTTCCTTCCAGGCCCTGGGGTGGCATTAGATTGAGAGTAGTATAAGAAGGCTTTTTTTATTCTTAGAAAGTCCGAAACAAGAGTAGAGAAGCACAGAAGCACACTGTGGTTCTTCTCAAACTTACTTCTAACTCACGAGACCAGTATGCAAAGGCATGCGTGGTTATTTTGGCCACAGTGTATGGACACAGGAAAGCCTGGCCACCTGGGCTCTTGCCCCACAGCAGCTTTCAGGGAACCCTCTGAGCAGTTCGAAAATACCTGTGGTAGTTTAAAGATCATGAGTCTTGGAGACCCTATCCTAGCACATAAGCAATTGTCTAACTTTGGCTTTAGGATATTTTGCAGCGTGAGCCTCCGTCTTTTCATCCACAAAAACAGTAATCTGTACTGCTGCAAGAATTGAGGTATGAAACTGTCTGGCAGATACTGGTCATGGTAGCTGCTGCTATTGCTCCACTTGGATCTAGGAGGGAGAGGGTGCTGTTGGTGAGGAGAGCAGTCTTAGTGCGAGCATCTGAAATCAGGTTTTCCTAGGAAGGCATGGGACATCGGAACATTAGACGGGTGTGTGGTGGCAGTGGGGAGGAGCACCTTGCTTTTCTGGAAGGAGTCACAGTGGCCTGCTTGACCTTAGTGCCTTGGCTCCCTAAGGAGCCTGGTTGGTTGAGAAGGCAGTCTTGCCATTTGACACCTACCCTTGAGGAGCTACAGAGCCAGTTTGGCTTTGTCCTCTGCAGTAACTATATATAACAGAAAATAGGATATCTTTTGTGTGTGTGTGTGTGTTTTTTGGTACCAGGGATGGAACTCGGGACCTTGCGCTTGCAAGGCAGGCGCCGGAACCACTGAGCTAAATCCCTGGCCCAAAAGTAGGATATCTTTTGTAAAGAATTTTAGGTTGCAAGTTTTTCCTACTCCCTACCCCCAACTAGGGATTGAACCCAGAGCCTTTGGACTTATCGATATCCCTAACCCCAGCCCTTTTCTAGTTTTTATTTTGACACCCTCACTAAATTGCTCAGGCTGGCACTGAATTTGCCATCCTTCTGCCTCAGCCTCCCAGAGTGCTGGCATTACAGGTATGCACCACTTTGTCTGGCTACCACTCTAATTATTGGGAGGAAAAAAAATCTTCACAAGTGCTGGGCCTGTTTCCTGGGAGATAATCTGACAGTGTAGAAAGGATAGGGCTGGGGTTATATGTCTCTTTGTGTACATGGTCTCTGTCTAAACAGCTCTTCCTCATCCCCAGGGTCAGCCATTTCTGCATTTCCATAAAAAAGGATCTGGCTCTAACCTGGTGGCCAGACATTTGGAAGGATGGTTTTAAACCCAAGATCTGAGCACCTTGTAGTACAAACCTTGCTGGAATTACTGTAGGAAGAAAGGGGGCACAATGGGTTAAAGTTATCATTTATAGAGAACTCTCTGAGAGAAATAAACCCAGGACATGGCTCCAAACCCAGAAGTAGAATCAGGTAGATAGGAAATCATAACTGAATAAATGCACCTACATAAATGGAATGGGTTGGTAAGCCAATGTGTTCAAGGTTCTGTGGATGTGTTAAAAGAAGGGTTGCTCATTAAGTTTTGATCTAATTAGCTTTGAAATTTGGGAGAGATAAAAGAATATGATCAGTGCCATGCATGGTGGCACACACCTGTAATCCCAGCACTCGGGAGGCCAAGGCAGGAGGATCAGTGTGAGTTTAAGGCCAGCCTGGGCTACATAGTGAGACCCTGTCTCAAAAAACCAAAAGAATATGATCTAACGGAAGGGATGAATGATGAATGGCCACCATGAAATGAACTGAAACTTAGCATTCTTGCTTCCTTTGCCTTCTGGGACTGGTATGCATGTGTGTGTCCATGCACGTGCCTGCACAAGCACTGGAGTCAAACCCAGGGATTTACATGTGCTAAGCAAGAGCTGTACCTCTGAGTACACTTCCAGCCCCAAGAGAAATTTAAATATTGAGATATAATTGACATAATTCTACAGTGTGCAGTTTACCTCATAATAACCAAATTGTGCACACTATTTAGAACATTTCACCATCCCAAAAGAAACCCTGTACCCATTAGTAATGGAATTGAAATTTTGAAATGTCATCTCCAGACCTGGCAATAAATGTTTACTGAGAGTTTTGTTTCTCTGTCTCTCTCTGTCTCCCCCTCCCCGCCCCCCGACAGGATCTCATTATGTAGTCCAGGCTGGTCTCAAACTCACAGCAATCCTCCTCCCTCAGCCTCCCAAATTCGGAGATTACAGATGGGTGTGCCACCACACCTGAAAGTATGAGACCATTGTAATAAGCTAGTGCCTAAAGCAGCTCAAATCTAGCCCTAATGAACATACATGATTTGATGAACTTCAGCTCATAGCATCTGCTTTTGAAATCCTTTAACACCAACATACCACCTAGGGCAGCCCATTTCTTTCCACACAGGAAAACCTTGAATGGTGTGGCGCCAACAGGCAAAAGTCAGAGGCTGGGAGAAAAGAAGGAAGTTCTTTTCCCAGGACCTACCCCATTAGAGAAAGTCACTAGACCTGTCTGGTGAGAGAAACCAGGTCATATCCAGAGCTCACTGGAGTCACCTGCCCAGGCCCAGAGACAAGAAATGTGGGGAGAAAATGGAGCCTAGGAGACATCAGAGGGCCCCTGCAGCTTCCTCTGTAGAATTAGCTGTGACCTGTGCCCTTCAGTTCTGAGCCCCATGGATGCGGCCAAAGTGGACCCTGATGATTATCGCAGCTGCTTTGCACAGAAATACTGAATAAATCCTAGACTTCCTGATGACTGAATAACAGCTAACATAATTTACAGCACAGGCGTTTCTTTTCTCAAACTTCACAGCAACTCTTAAGAGGGAGGTAGTGTTTTAAACCTCCACCCACCACGCCTCACAAGTGAGACCCAAAGGTGAGCAGGGCTCAGAGCCTCCGGCAGGACACGTCGCACCCAGGCGCTTTCTCTCCGCACCCGAAGTCTTCGCTCCCTTTGGTTGGAGAACCTTGAGTTCAAGCCTCTTTCCATAGAGGGGAAACTGAGGCCCAGGGAGGTGTAATGGCTTTTCCAAGGTCCCAAAGGCAGCCAGGTACACAATCCAAGCCTGCTGGCCATGCGGCCAGGGCTGCCTCTGGAGCGTGGTGGCAGCGTCTTGGGCCGGGCGGGCGACAATTTGCCAGAGTGAAACGTGGAGAGCGCCGTCCCCCAGAGCTAGGCCAGCGGCGAGGAGAGCGCTCAGTCAGCCAGCCAGCCTCGGCTTCCGGCCCCCGGAGGTGGCGGCGGGAATCCTCGCTGCGTGCGCGCCGCTGCTCACTCTCCCATTGGTCAAGCGGACCCCGGGGGTGGTGCCGCTGGCAACTCCCTCCAGTGATAGGGCAGTAGCGGCCCCGGGCCCCGCCTCCAGCCCTGGGCTGTGAATGTAAGACCAAGCGCCTAGACGGCGGTCCCGGCATGTTGCTGCCTGCCACAAGCCGAGCCTGTAGGCTAGGCCGGCCGGGCTGCCCTCGGCCCTCCCCACCCAGTTTGCGAATGTTCCCCACCAGCCCGTGTCCCTTTGTCCCCACCCGACGGCGCAGGTCCGAGGGTTGAGTGGGACTACTCCCCGCTTTAAGTCTGGGGTCCTCCGGGTATTCGGGCCACCGGGCCAGCCCCAGAGAACAGGACCCTAACGCTAAGGTCCTAAGTCAGGGTCTCTAAATCACACTTCAGTCCCACTCCCAGCCCATGGCCAATAACTGGAAAAGACAGGAGTATCACAGCGGAACTTTATTGAGAGGGAACATGGTCACACCCAGCAGACGCGCTTTCACTCTCGCTCTCTCACACAGTCACACGCACGCGCACGCACACACCCTTGTCCCACCTCTGCCTGCCTCACGGTCCAGTTCTCAGCCACAGGGGTGGGACACTCCAGAGGCGGCAGGGGCCAGAGGGAGGCGCGGGGTGGGGGTGGGGAGTGGCCCGGGTGAGGGTGGGGTGGGAGAAGGGGGCGCAGGGCGCAGAGGTGGGCAGGACGCTCCGCAGGTGGTGCGCCCAGAGGGGACCCTGGCCACAGTGGCCTTGGAGCCGCTGCGCCCCTGGAGGGGCCTTTCTGAGCTGGGGCAGAGCCCTCGGGAAGGTCTGGGCAGGGCCGGGCCTCCCACCCCCTACGAGTACTCTGGGCGGCAGCTGGGTACTGGAGCGGGTAGGGCAGGGCAGGCAGCAGCAGGCAGGTTCAGCTCTGGGGCTCCTCAGGAGCCTCGCCACCCTCTTCCCCGGCGCTGTCGGCTGTCCACAGCGTCAGGTTGTCTCTCAGCAGCTGCATGATGAGGGTGCTGTCTTTGTAGGAGTCCTCGCTGAGAGTGTGCAGGTCAGCCATGGCCTCGTCAAAAGTGGTCTTGGCGAGCGAGATGGCCTCCTCGGGGCTGTTGGCAATCTCGTAGTGGAAGACAGAAAAGTTCAGGGCCAGGCCCAGGCGGATGGGGTTGGTGGGTGGCATCTCCTTCTTGCTGATGTCCATGGCCTCCTGGTAGGCTGCCCGGGCAGAGTCGATGATGCGCTTCTTGTCGTCACCGGTGGCCACCTCGGCCAGGTAGCGGTAGTAGTCGCCCTTCATCTTCAGGTAGAAGACCCGGCACTCAGCCTCCCCAGCCTCCTTGACGAGATGGGAGTCCAGCAGGCCCAGCACGGTGTCGCACACGCCCCGGAGCTCGGTCTCCACCTTCTCTCGGTACTCTCGGACCTCGGGGCCCTTCTCCTCCGAGCCCTCCTCATTGCTCTTCTGCTCAATGCTGGACAGGACCCTCCAAGCAGCCCTCTGGCCGCCCACCACGTTCTTGTAGGCCACGGAGAGCAGGTTTCGCTCTTCGCAGGAGAGGTCCTCACCCTTTTCCACGGCGCCCTTCATGAAGGCTGCCATGTCCTCATAGCGCTCGGCCTGCTCTGCCAACTTGGCCTTCTGGATCAGACTAGCTCTCTCCATGGCTCTGGGACAGACGGTCGGGCGGCGAGCTAACTGGCTGCCAGGGGACCAATGCCGGGTTCTGTGCCTTTCCTGCTCTCGCCCTGCCTTTTGGCTGGGTGGCCTGGCCCAGAGAAGGGTGGGGAGAGACAGGGGCGGGACTGGGGCCCAAGACCTGCCCCTTTCTCCCCTTCTCCTCACACCCTTTCCGGCTCTTCCATAAAGGTAAAAGGGCGGGATGTAGAGGTGAGTCATCGGGACAGTCAGCAAGAGAAACCTGGGCGTGGGCCCCACCTTCCGGGCTCCAGGCTGCCCCCTGCTGTTCAGGGCTGCGTTGCACAGGCGCCCATATTAGGAAGCTACCCCAGATCCTCCTTCACACTGAGTGGCCAAACACAGGAGGGTGGGGTTCTTAATCCTGCCAGGTATGTTTCCCTCTTGGTTCAGGTGAGATAACTCATGTGTAGGTAGGGCTGCAGTTTCCCGAACACTTTCTCAGCCAGGATCTCAATCCCTACGATGTCTTTGCAACTTACACAGACTGGACAGGTGGGAATACTGTATCAGAGAGGGGTGAGATTTACTCAAGGTCACAGAGCTACCAACTCCCTAAAACTCTTCCCCTGCACCCTACTTCCTTTGGCTTTTTTTCCCATTGAGGCCTGTGACCCGTGAGCTCCAGTATCTGGAGGTGGGATTCAGTCTTCTTCCTCAGTCTCCCTAAAGATACAATAGTTCTGGGCTGGGAATGTAGCTCAGTGGTGCTGCCACCTGCCTCCCAAGCACAAGGTCCTGAGTTCAATCCCTGGTACCTCCCCCCCACCCCAAAGATACAATAGTTCCATCCCCTGCTCCTCACTCTTCCTCTGACCCCCCAGAATGCACAGGTGGCAGCTTTCAAGGTGCCACTTAATGAAGTGTTTAACAAGCAGCCTCTGACGCTCCAGCCCAACCTTTGTAATTAGTCACCCAGTAGGTTTGTTGGACACCTTCCCCATCACAGCACAATCTTCCCTTTCAAGTTGGTGGCCTGTTGCCACTTGTCTGAAGATTTAGCCTCTGACTCTCCACACCAGGTCACCTGGCCCCTCCAAGCTGCCTGCCATGATGTATCAGCCAGGCTCCCGGGGTGGGGGGGGTGCGCTGGGGATCCTTGGCTGTCCCACTTTCCAGCCTGACTCAGATTGCCCTCGGTCAGAGGCTGGAAAGCAGGCCACCTGGGTGCTCAGTCCAGTTTGGTCCCCTGGGGGGTACGCTAGCAACCTGGGGAGAGAAACAGGTCTGAGGAAAAGGAGGCTGCAGTGACACATAGCATTTCGTTTTATGGGGTGGCAATTTCAGCTGAGTGATGTCTCCCCAGCCAGTCTTCCAGAAGTTTTCCTTGTCCCATCTCTTTGACTGTGGCCCCAACTCTGACCCCTCACAGAGGCTTCAGAGATGGACACCTCTCTTACCAACCGTCTGTCCCTGCTTGCTGAGGCCCTGTCGTCAAGCTTCACCAAGAGCATCATGAAGAGTGTTGTTGCCAAGCCCAAGCCTTGGAGGGTAGGTTCTTGGTTATGTGCCCCACCCCCAGCAAAAGCTCAGGTAGGGCTCAGGGTGGGGATCCTGTGGGGTCCAGCCAGTCCAGCCCTTGAGTCTGAGTCTCTCCTGGTTCCCAAGTGTCTGGGCACCCACCTTGCCCTCTGGAGAGGGGCCTGGCCCAGGGCTCTAAGGGCTAAAGATGAAAACTGCTTCTACCACAAGGAAAGGTAGGAACGAGTCTGGACTAATAATGCCAAGGGGTTTCCCAGGAAGTAGAGGGATTTTAGGCCTGACATCCAAGAGGCTTTGCTCAAATGGGGGCTTTGATGTGGAAAACAATTGAAAGGTCTTATACTAAATTACCAACTCAGAAGGGGTATCTTTAGGTAGAGAGACTCGAAGACTTTTTTCTCTCTTTTTTTTTTTATGGTATTGGGGATTGAATTGAGGGCCTTCACACTGAGCTACATCCCCAGCCCTTTTATTTTCATTTTTTAAATCTTGAGACAAGGTCTCAATAAGTTGCTAAATTGCCCAGGCTGGGTATGAACTTACTACCCTTGTGCCTCAGCCTCCCAGAGCGCTGGGGTTTTGGCTGGGCCACCATGTACCAACAGTTTTCTTTTTTCATTCTCTCCAAATTATTAATGGTGAATATGTTATTTTTCCACGAGAGACAGAATAGCCTGGTATTTTGGGAATTAGACTGCCTGAGTTCAGTTTTTACAAACTGTTGTAGCCCTGGCCAAGTAACAACCTTTGCAAGCCTCAGTCCCTGTAGTTATAAAATGAGGCTTGTAAAGATTAAATAAGTGAACAGAAAGCACTTAGTAGAGTGGATGGTAATGATTTCTATGGAAAAACCAGCCACCTTTACTATTATAAATATAAATAAAGAAAATACTAACACAGGACTGGGTTCTACGATATGAAGACAGGTCCCAAACAAGGGCTTAGCTGAAGATCAGACCCTGCCCAGCTGGGTGTCCACAGGGAACAGAGGGGCCACTTTGCCCACAGCCTTCCCTCCGTAGACGTGGTCCAATGGCTCAGTGGTGCCTCCTCTCTCCATCCTTGGTGCTCCTCTGGTCTCCCTAGGCCCTGGGCCCTCAAGGATGTTCTTTTGCAGGAGTAATCTAGTCCAAGGTTCCCCGAGTCCTTGAGCCCCTTTATTCTCCCTTCTTCTCTGCTGAAGCTCGAGGTTGAATCTGGAAGCCAGGCTGCCTCACCCCTCCTGCTGGCTCAGGCCTGTCGATCCTGACTCAGTTCCTGTCTGTTTCCTCCCTTTGCCTCTGGGCCTCTGTTTCTCAAGTCCAGGAGCACAGGCAGGCAGGAGGCAGCAGGCCCTGGCAGGGCTTGGAGCTCCACATCAGCGGCCTGAGTCAGCAGGACAGTGTCTGGGGCTGCAGCCCAAGCGGGCTTTCCCCATCCTGCCTTCCCCTCTCCTCTCTTCCGAAGCATCTGTCCTAGTCCTAGCAGCAGCTCACGGGCCCTGGGCCCATACTCAAGCAATCCTTCCTCAGCTTGTAGCAACAGGCTTTGAAGGGCTATGCACAGAGAAATCAGTTGTCATCTACCTCCACTGAGAACAGAGCACAGGGTTCTGGTTGCGGCAGGGCAGAGCTCTATTAGACTTCAGAAAGAACTTCCTCCATCTCTCAAATTCAAAATAAAGAGGTAACTATAAGAAGCTCTAGCACCTTCTCCTCCTGGTTAGTTGTAAGAGGCCAGTTATTCAGCTGAACGCTTTCTCTACCAGTTGCCTTTGGGAAGGGATACTAGATTACTTTCAAGTGACTCAGCTGTTCTGAGTCTTTCTCCTCAAGGCACTGCTGTTCAAAGTTGCCCACATCTCCTAAACCAGTCCAGTCTAGGAGATAGTGGGGAATTTATGCAGAGAATGGAATGAGGTCAGGGTGTGGGGCTGCATTCCAGCTCTGTTCTAAGGCCTTGGGCAGGTCCCTTCCTGCCCCTGAGTTCAGCTTCTGCAGTAGAGGAAGGAGGGTAGGAGGCATCTCTAAGCCCCTACTGCATATGACAGAGGGCTTCTTAAGACCCCATTCTCCCAAGCCGTACTCATCCTGGACAGAAGGGAGAAAGATTGGGTTCCAGTCCTAGATTTGCTGCTCTGCCGGCTGAGTGACCCTGGCCAGCTCTTGGACCTCCCCCCAGCCTCAGTTCCCTCATCTGTAAAAGGGCTGACATCACCTTCCTCTTAGGTGAGGGTGAGAAAACGAACTGGCACTTGGCAAGGCCTTGCCCAGTGGCAGCAGAGTATAGTGTGTGTCTCCATGTGGGGTGGCAGCTGGAGAGAGGAAGGTAGGTGCCATGAGATTGTGATGCTAGGGTGTGAGCCCCAGACTAGAGTTAACCACCCTGGGCTTCGGCCTTTCAGAATTCAGGTTGGCTAAGGCTCAAAAGGTCTGCAACTGGAGATGGGTGCTTGGAGGGACAGACCCAGACTGCTGGCTGCTGCTCCCATGCCCCTCCTGGTTTCGTTGTCTCCTTAAACTCCAGAGCAGGGCTGACCAGCCAGAACAAAGCTGGCATCTGTAAGGCAGGATCAGCACACTCGCTGTAGGCCCACCCACAGACCCAAAGTCAAAGCGGCACCAGTCAAGGGTTTGGCAAGAAGGTAATCTTTATTTTGGTTATAAAAGGTACAGGACAGCAGACAAGCAGCCCCAGCCCTGGGCTTAGCTGATTTTCTGGGTCCTGGCTGGGCTCTTTAGATCCTGTGAGTAACATGGGGCTGGGCAGAGCCAGCTCCATCCCTTGGATTCCCCTGCATCCTACCCACAGGGGAGGGGCTGTGAGAACAGCACTGAGCTGAGCTGCTCAAGCTTTGAACAGTCACCAAACTTGCTCAGCAGCGTCAGCACCCCAGCTGGCTCCAGAAGAAACCTGCTCAGCTTGACTATGGCTATGCCAGATTTTGATGGGGGGGGGGGGGCGGGCTGTAAGACAAGGTTCTCAGAGTCTCCTCACAAATCTGGGGAAGGGGAAGTGGGGAGGAGGAGTTTCAGCATAGTGCTACAGCATTGCGCTGATGCTGGCTATGGCTTTCTGCACTCTGGCTGGCATGGAGTGGAGGTGGGGGCCACAGGCCAGCCCCTGCCCCCAGGGGGGACCCATAAGGGCCCTAGAGACCATGTAGGGGAGGCTGGGGGCAGACCCTGTAGGCACAGATGGTGGCAGACGGGCCACAGGTTAGGCAGGTGGAGGTGCCGGGTGCCTGGCTCCCCCCAGGCCACTCCTGGAGAGGCAGAGAGCAGCGGTCCTCAGGAGGTCCTTAAGCCCTCGCACACACTGGAGATCCCCGGCAGGATAGTAAAGGAGAAGAGAGAGGGTTAGTGGGAGGGAGGGGAGGTGGCCTGCAGGGCCACATGGTGGGGACAGGGGCTGCCACAGCATCTGCCTCTTCCCCAAAGAAGGGCAGCAGGCAATCAGGCAGGACAGAAAACGGGCAGGTGAAAGAAAGCTTAGCAGGGACAGAAAGCCGGGACACAGGAGTGTTAGTGACCAAGGTCCCGTGCACACCAGGACACCACAACAGGCCCAGGTACCTCAGAGGGGCCTCACCCTTCACCTCCTCTTCCAGTGGGACAGCCGTTCTGTGAGAAGCCATTTCCTCAGTTCAGCCCCACCTGGGGGAGCCCTGGGGACCTACCACCACCAGTACACACACCACACTACACACCAGACAGATGGAGGGGCTCCATGGGGTGGGTGAGCATGCGATGATGATGATGAGATGGTGTGTGAGGGAGCAGCAGTGCTGGCCAACAGGTGAGTACAGTCTTACCAGCTAACCCTCTGCAAAGAGGCCTGTTAGCTCCCCTCAGGCTGTGCAGGAGATGGCAAAATCCTGACAGGTGTCCTCCTGGGGGGGAGATACCAGAGAGGTGAGCCCATGTTATGAGTTGTCTGGCTGGGCCCTGCTGCCCAGGTGGGGCTGGTGGTGGTCAGGGAGGCTCTGGCTGTCAAACTGGAATCTACTGTCTTAAACATTCTCTTAGCTGAACAGTTACTGGGGATCAGGGTGGAAAGGCGGCAGGGGGAAACTCAGGGGGCCCCAAGCCCCCGAAGCAGGGGAAAGTAGAGGGGCCGAAGAGGGGACAGGATGGCTCAGCCAGGCGCCCTCTACTCTGCCCCCAGCAGACAGAGCTGCAGTCAGGCGAGGGGGACCCCAGCCAGATGGCTGGGCTGCTTGTGTTCTTTCTGTCTCCAGAGGAAACACCTGTTTGTCTCAAAGAACCCAGAACTGTCAACTGGAGTCTCAGCAAAGCAAAAGCAAACAAAAACCAAACCAAAGCAAATCAACTCTTAAAAACAGAAGTTTTATTATAAGCAGGAACAAAGAATACTAGCTTAAATAAAAGGCAGTTGGGAGTCCCCACTAGTCAGCTTCCCCCCACCTCCCAGGGCCACTGTAGGGTGGCTCAGGGCCCTGAGGCTGGACCAGAGCTCTTTCTCCCAGTGGGGACCCAGTGGCCTCTGCAGCAAGAAAGGGTAAGACCTGGTGACTTTCTATGTCACTTTCTAAGGGCATCAGCCCACTAGAAGTTCCAACGAGGGGGTCAGAGGGACAAGTCTCCATTTTGAAAAGAAAGTACAGTTCCCAGCTTCTTGGCCAGACTTAGGCCAACCCTCACTTGTCTCTTAGCCTACCCTGCTGCTTCCTTCCTTTGCTTTTGATGAAACCCCTCAGTTGGCAGAAACACTTTGTCCTTTAGGCCCTAGCCCTGGGTCTCATACTCAGAGCTCGGGGGGGGGGTGTGGCTTGTAGGATGGCAGCCGTTCCCCAATGCCATCAGCCCACCACTGCTCCCAGCCTCAGCCTGTCTGGACAGGTCCCAGCTGGAAGCCTAACCTGGGGGCTGGGTGGCAGGGGGATGGGGTGGCAGAGTGTCCAGCTACTGGTTGTCTCAAGTCCATGGAGGAAGGAAAGATAAACTGGGGGGCTGAGCCTCAGTGGGAGCCCAAGGGTCTCTTGTGACTGATGCACATGCTCCCTGTCCCCATGACTCAAGCTGCTCCTGAACCCCAACAGGGATGGTGGAAGGGGGCAGCCCAAAGGATATGGGAGCCAGCCACATCATACAGGGACACACGTGAACACACACACACACACACACACACACACACACACACACCATACACTCACACACTCACAGCCAGAAAGTCTCTTGTAATAAACTTATTAAAATCCAACTAGCCTTCTGATAACCCTTTACCTGGCACTACACAGATAGCAACATGGCTGACTTCTTTTTAAAAAAGGTTATGTAAAAAAGAGGTCTATAAAATTGTGCAAAATACCCAGCATTAATAAACCCGTTTCAAGTATTGCCATCATGAGCAGCATCTGCCCATCCTCAGCTCTGCCTCGGGAGAAAGATGAGACAGGCTGGTATCCCCTGCAGAGCCTCCAAGGGCGGGGAGGGTGCGGCCTCCCTTCTCACTGTGCTGCCCAGGACTCTGAGCAGAGGTTCTGGGTGCCTGGCTGGCTGGTTCAGCTTCCTCAGACACAGACTGCCCCCTAACCCGATTCCATCCTACAGGCCAACTCCATACAAAACCCTCAAACCCACCAAAAATCCAACAGAAGAATAATGATCATCACAAACAGAGTGCAGGAGCCCCCAAGCCAAAGCAGCCTGAGGCATCTCTCCAGCCCGAGGTCCTCAGCCCTGTGAGCAGTCCTGTCTCACCGGATCAGCAAGGCCCAGACAGTGTCCCGCCTGGCACTCAGGTCACACCCTCACTCACACGGAGCTCACCCTGGCACAGGCAGACACTTGGCATAGTCCCCTTGGTGACCTTCAGAGGCTCTGGCTGTCCTGTCCCTTCTGCCACTGATTAGGGTCCAGGGGGACATAGGACCCAAGGCTGTGGGAACCTGGGTGTGAGGAGCAGAGAGGACAGCCATGGAACCATTCAGGGAAAGCCACACAGGTGGGAAATAAATATGAAAAGACTTGAGTCTTTGGCAGCCTTGCTTCCCTCGGATGGAATGGGGAGGGTCTCAGCAGGTGTGGAGGGCAGCAGGTGAGTTCGGAGGGGCAGACAGGCCAGAAGGTGGCAAGTGCTGAGCCACATTCAGGGGTGGCCTCCTACCATGCTGGCGTCTGGCTTGGCTCCACAGGCTGCCTCGTTGCTTCTGACAGGCGAGGGCAACACGGTGTCAGACTGCACAAATCCCCTCCGGTCAATGAGACTTCCAAAACACAAGAACAGGGACACATGAAGGATGTGGCCAGTGCCAAAACTCCAGGCCAGGGGCTGGATGGCAGAATCCAATTCCCGGCCAGAGAAAGACCCAGTCCCAGAAAGGCTGTGGAGAGGGGAGCCACTCTCCACTGGTGGGCTCAAGAACCTCCCTTCTGTAAGGCCTCTTTCTGCCCTCTAGGGACCTGGCTTTCATTATAGAATTTTTTCAGTGACCTACCTATCTGTCTGCCAAGAAGCCAGGATGCAGATGATAGGAAAAGCCAGGATGAAAAGGTGTTAGAAGATAGTGAGATTCCTACTGCGCCCCTCCAGGCTGGGCAGGTAGCTAGAATTCTAGGTGGGGGCAGGGATGGGGGGGACACACTGCATCGGGGAGGTCCTGTCCCACAGTGCCCATAGCCCTGTAACTCCCGTTCTGGAGCTCTGGCACCCCCTGGCGTTAGGATGGCAGGGCTGAGCCACAGGTTCCCTTCTGCCAGGAGAGCCTGCATGCCTCACCCAGTGCCGGCAGCAGAGGCCCTCTGGCTCAGCTGTGACCACAAAAGTCACTATGGTCATCCCTGGGGAGTAGGATCATATGTGACACATTTAACATTTGTACTTAATTTTTCTTTCCTTTTGGTACTAGGGATTGAACCCAGTGTCTTTGTGCTGAGCTACATTTCCAGCCCATTTTTATTTTGAGACAGGTTCTCGATAGGTTGCTAAGTTGCCTGGGCTGGGCTTGAACTTACAATCCTCTTGCCTCTGCCTCCTAGAGATCTGGTTTTATAGACATGGTGGTGCACCATGCCTGGCTTGTACTTAATTTTTTCCTACAATGAGCATACATGACTAAAAATGACAAGCTGTCACCCAATTTCTTTACTTGACAAACACTAAGTGCATTCAACGGGTGATGGTGGAAAGGGGGTGTCTGTGGCACAGTGAAAGTTCTGCTAAGGCCCAGAACCTCTCTGAACGGGGGCTGACTCACAGGGTCACCATGACCCCTCCCCTGTGCACCATCCCCTCTGGCTTACCTGGGAGGTAAGGGGCCACACAGCACAGCACAACAGTTGGTGATAATACTTTTATGGCTGTAGGGGTTGACAGAGGCCTCACTGCCCCTCTTGCTGGACCATGAGCCTTTGATCTGCAAACAGGAAGGAGGCCTGGGTCAGATACCTCTTTTTTTTTTTAAACATGGTGCTGGGCACTGAGCCTAGGACCTCATGCATGGTGGGCACACACTGCACCGCTGAGCAGCACCCTCAGCCCAGCTATTTCCTTCTGCTTTATTTTCTAGGAGGGAGAGAGATGGACAAAGCTGGCCAATTCTGAAACCAGTTCTGCTTAGACTATGGAAGGACTATGTCTTTAACCCAGGCCATTCAATAATGATATGGGGGATTGCTGGATGTAAGGGGGTCCCCAACAGAGATTAGGAGGTCCCAACCAGGAGAGAAGATAGTGAAACCAAAGACAAGTTTCCAGAGGAAAGTTTGTTGGTGACTCCTCCCTCCTCTGGCTAACCGCCACAGAGAGAGGGTGGTACTGGGGTCACAGGGCTGGGGGCTGACCTGGCTGGGAACCCTGGCCTTGGCAACTGGCTCCATCCCCCTGGACAGATCATCTCTCTGAGTCTGTCCTCTTCTGAAAAATAAGGACAATGGCACTCATTCTCAGCACCATTGGAACATTAGGTGATAGCTTGTCCATCTCTAGCCCTGTGAAGTCAGCTACTGAAGGTACTGAGGGATTTGGGAGTAAAGAACACCCACTTGACTGCTACCCAGTCCATATTATTGGGCCATGATGTCCCTTTCTGCTTAAACTCTGTAATATCCTGTAAACCAGCATCCAGGAAATCTCTCTGGGAGATGCTACCTGTTGTCTTTTCTGCTCTCACCAATCATCCAGCACATGATATGCTGCTGTGTCTGTTGAGTTTTGTTTCCATTTGAAGGGCTGAGTCTTAGATATATATTTTCTGCTGATCATCATCAGATGGCAGGCCAGGGAATGTGTACTCCTCTTTGCTTTTTATTGTTTGGCGGGTCGGAGGGGTCAAGTCTGGCCCAGGACTAGGCACAGTGGGTGCTCAAAACAATGTTTGATGGTGGTGGTCTCCAGGGACTAAGTAGGGAGGGTCAATGGAGTCCCACTGTCCTGTCCTGCTGCACCCTTCAATAAGGGTGCCTAGGGAGCCCCAGTCACAGCTCTGTTGCCTCCAGGTGCAGCGTGGTGGAGCAGAAAGAGCATGGCCATGACTTCTGGGCACCAACCTGGCTCTGCCCCTTCCCAACTGTATGACCCTGATGCACATCTCTGAGTCATCCAGTGAAGGAGAAGCTTCCCTGTTACTCTGCCTCAGGCTTGGCAAGGAGATGACAGGAAATGGAAGAAATCGGTAAGCAGTAAATGTACTGGCCAGACCCGAGTCTATGGCACGTGTGCTGCCCTATGGGCATGTGAGGAGAGCAACTCAGGGCCCGGGGAGTCTGCACTGAGGGGGTGAAGTATGCAGGGACCTCAGAGCACACAGCAGGGCTTCTGAGGCTGGGCCTGGGCACTGGGAGATGCCCGGCTGCTCCATGCCTCCACCCAGCTTCCCCCTCCGGAACTCCAGGCAAGACTGTACCTGGCCACCCCAGTTTCCCATGGCCCAGCTCCTGTCATACTCACGTCTTCATTAGTTGTCAGGTTGGAGGCGACGAGGTAAGTGTGAAACCCTGAGAGGCCCAGGATGGACCAGATGGAGAAGAAGCATATCACCAACTCCAGCACAGTGGCCCGGTCAAGGACACACACAGCAGTGCAGGGTGGGCCTCTCCGGGCCTGGGAGCTCACTAAGCTCAGCGTTTCTCCTCTAGCCTTCCCTGGGGCTCCTTCCCAAGGAGGGGACACATATTGAGACCTTCCTATGGCCCAGTTATCACTTCTCAACAGGATCACCTCCTGGGACCCCAGGAGGGGTTAAGAGTTCCCTAAAGTGCAAGAAATTGGGATGATGAGTGGCAGAGGAGACTGAGGATTCCAAACACAGGTTTGGGGCATGACACGGTCCTGAAAGCTTGGCATCTCAAGGGACATGCTCTCTTCCAGGCCCTTCAAGACAAGGACGGTGCCTTCTAAGAGTTCTCAGACAGTCCAGGTCCATGATACCCCATTTAGAATTAGCCCCAGCCTGGGGACAACAGAAGCAGCTGGTACACTGGATTCAATATGAACGCTAGCATTGCCCTGGGGGACCTACCCAGTGAAGGGACCCAGGTTCCCACAAGGGTATCCACTAGCTGACAAAGGATATCTCGCTGGTGTCTCCTTTAGAGTGGAGAGGAAGTTGCTTCCCTGAGAGCCTGAGGAAGAAGAGACAACAGAGGGCACAGCTCAGAGGGGTGGTGACCACAGCACCTTGACCTGGCTCAGCCTGCTGGCCAGTCCCTCCTGCTTCCCTCTATTGTCCCCTGAACTCACGCAGCGTCAGGTGAGTGACCACGCAGGCAAAGATGAAGGCCGTCAGGAAGGAGAGGGAGAGAATGAACGCATAGAAGAAGCGGTAGTTCCGTCTTCCCACACAGTTCCCCACCCAGGGACAGTGATGGTCAAAGCGTTCTGGAAAAGGGTAAGGGATGACAGGTTAGTGAGGTCTGGCCTACAACCAGCACAGGGTTTCAGAGGTTTCACCTCACAGCTGGGGCTCACCTACCCTTTCACTCTCTCCACCCAGCTGACTCCAGCCCCCTGGCCACGCTCTGCTGCTGTCTCTTGAGACTCAGTTCCTGCCGCCTACATATTCCTCTCCATCTCTTTCTGGGGAACAATAACTTCTCCTTCATATCTCAGCTACAGAACCACTTCCTTAAAAAGTCCCCTCCAGCCCAGACTAGGCCAGAGTCCCCTGATGTCTGCCCCCTTGCTCCTTTTTTGCAGCATGTTGCCCATGTGAGGTTTTTCAGATTTATTTATAATGACCAGAGCAGCCAACTGGCCCGCTGGATCACAAGCGCCATATGGGACTGTGGGGACCTCACACTGTGTTGACTCCCCAGCACCCAGTACAAAAACCACAAAAAGTACTTCTCTGACCTACTACTCTGGCCACATGCCAACAGCCAACAACCTGTCCCTTGCTCTAGGATGACTAGAGGCCCAGGGAGGGGCCAGGTCACTAGGTAACCATGGAGAGCCGGCCTCAGAGGCCAAGGCAGAGGGCTGAGCTCCCCGGGGGTTGGGATCACACCCAGACTGGTGAGGAAAGTCCCCGTGGGAATGTGGGTCACAAGTCTGATGTGAGCCTCTTGCCAAGGCTAGCACCCTTGCAGGAGGTGGGTGGAGCAGATGCTCAGGGATGAATGACACCCATTGAGTCACCCCCTTCGTTGCCTGCCGTCATGGGTGGCTCCCCACTGCCCTCTTGCTTGGGGCATGCTGAGCTGGCAAGATGAGGTCACTGTCCCAGGAACTGTGCACTGTCACTGTGGCTCAGCTCCCCTGGGCCTTCACGCAGCGTCTGCCTTAAGACACCTTCCGAGATGAGCCACCCTGGGTCCCCACAGAGCTGGGTGGCCTCTGGAAAGCACTGCGGTGTGAGTCAGGAGCTGCTTCCAGCCCCAGTTACATCTTCTCCACCTCACCAGCTCCACATGGACTCTGGTCCCTCCCTACCCCTGGGAACAAGATCAAAGTCTGCAGAGCTGGGCGGTAAGACACTCTCTCTTGGGCCCAAATGCATCTGGGATGTTGTTCCAGTCTCTCTTGGGGACTTGGACCTACTGAGGTCCAGGCTAACATGGGAGGAAGGCCTAGGGCCTCTCTGTGATCACCTTGCCCTTCATAGCTGGGGAAAAGGAATCTGCCAATCCTGGACTGAAGCCAATACATCACTATTCACACTCATAGCCCTTCCCCAGTCAGGGCAAATCTGGGTGAACTGGACCTGCTACCTGGCTCTGGATATTTCAGACATGGCACCTTGCCCTGCACGTGACCTCCTGTCCTCAGGACTCGGTCTGTCTCAGGGATCCCTGAAGGCCTCCCACTCACCCACACAGTTGTCACAGACGCTGCAGTGTGAGGTCCGAGGCGGTCGAAACATCTTGCATGTGAAGCAGTACTTTAACTTCACCATCTCCCCATTGATCATCACCTCCCTTGTCCTAGGTGGTGGCCGGTATGTGGAGCTGCCTGTGTTGTCTGAGGGTGAGAAGAGAGAAAGGTGAGGGGAGCCCAAGGCAGCCCAGTGCAGGAGCCCCAGCCAGGAGAAGATTCAGGAAAAGCACTGCCAAGGTAGCTGGGAGTGGTGGCTCATGCCTGTAATCCCAGCCCTCCAGAGGCTGAGACAGGAGGATCCCTGAGTTCAAGGCCAGCCTGAATTACATAGTGAGACCCTGTCTCAACCCCCTCCCCCCAAAAAAGAAAAAGCGGTGCCAAGGAATAAGCATAGGAATCATTGTCCCTGGACTAAGGCAGGGATAAATCTTAAGAGCTACCAGGAACTGAAGTTTCCTTTGTGCCAGGCACTGAGGTACAAGTTTACACCACTGCTCACACACCTGCTCGCCTTCCTCAACTCTGAAAAGGATCATCAGAGATGGGAGGCCCAGGAAGGCTTGGTGAGGCTTATGGACAGCTAACCTAGCCTCCACATAGGCACTAGCTTACAGGAGGTTTGGAACATGAAGGAACAAAGTAATCCCACAAGAAAACAATCAGACCTAGAACAAAAGACACCTACCAGACCACTGGCCTCACTTCTATTCAAAGTCAACGTCAGGTCCTGAGTTTGATCCCCAGTACCAAAAAAAAAAAAAAAAGTATATTGCCCTCACAAAGTCAATGCCACTTAGAAAAAAAGAGGAGCCAGTTGTGGCAGCACAAACCTGTAATCCCAGCCACTCAGAAGGCTAGGCAGGAGGATCACAAGTTCAAGACCAACCTGAGCAATTTATGAGAGCTTGTGTCAAAATTAAAAAAAAAAATAGGGCTAAGGATTCAGCTTAGTGGTAGAGCCTTGTTCATGTGCTAGGCCCTGGGTTCAATCCTCAGCACTACAGACAGACAGATGGACACACACATACACCCCCCCCCCCCACTGGGGATTGAATCCATGGGCTTCACATTGAGCTATATCCTCAGTTCTGTTTTTTTGGTTTTGTTTGCTTGTTTGTTTTTTTGGTACCGGAGATTGAACTCAGGACCTTGCGCTTTCGAGGCAGGCAGTGGAACCACTGAGCTAAATCCCCGGCTCTTTTTTGGGTTTTTTTGAGACAGGGTCTCACTATGTAATTCAGGCTGGTCTTGAACTCATTATATAGCCCAGGCTGCCCTCAAAATCATGCCAATCCTCCTGCCTCAGCCTCCCGCGTACTGGGATTACAAGGTGTGGACATCATGCCTGTCTATCCTCAGTACTTTTTAAATTTTGAAATAGGATGTTAATAAGTTGCCAAATTGCCCAGGATGGGCTTAAATTTGCCACCATCCTGCCTCAGCTTCCCAGAGTGCTGGGATAAGAGGTATACACCCCCACACCCAGTGAGATGGTTCTAAATAAACCATTAGATTTAGAAGATTTAGAAAATTTTTTAAAAAGCAATACTTGATCCTTGAATGTATTTTGTTTTGAAAACAAAACAAAAACAAACAAAATCCCAGTGACAAAAGACATTTGGAGAACACCTGGAAAAATATGACTGTGAATTAAAAATGAGGGAACCAGGGCCGGGGATTTAGCTCAGTGGTTCCGCTGCCTGCCCTGAAAGCACAAGGACCCGAGCTCGATCCCCAGTACCAAAAAAAAAAAAAAAAAAAAAAAAAACAGAGGGAACTATTAATTTTCCTAGACATAATAATGGATTATGTAGGAGACTGTCTTTAGGTTTTAAGGATACACATTAAAATGTTTGTGAGTAAAGTATCTATGATGTCTGTAATGTACTATGAAATGGTTTAATATGAATAAACACAGATGACATAAATAAAATACACTACTAACAATTAGGGAATCTGGATGGTGAATGTATAGGCATTTGTTGTATTAATTCTTCTACCTTTCCGTATGTTTGAATTTGCATAGGTGTGTGTGTGTGTGTGTGTGTGTGTGTGTGTGTGTGTG